CTCTCACAAGGTCATGACATTGTAGCTTTGAGATTAATCTCATAGTTGCATGTCCACAATTATTATGCCATGATATTGATCACCTTTTATAGATATTAAATAGGAAACGCTTTGAGATTGCAATTCATTTAGATTTATTTTGTATAAGTTACCTTGTTTGTTTGTGGTAAATACTAATGAACCCTTATCATCTAAGATTTTGCATTGGCCTTTTTCAAAAATAACATTAAACTTGTTGTTACATAATTGATTTATGCTTAGCAGATTATACTTAGCAGATTATGCTTTAGGCCATCAACTAATAAAACATTATCAATAGATGGGGAAATGTTTGTACCTATCTTTCCAATTCTGATGATTATGCCTTTTTGGTTTCCTCCAAAGGTGACTGTTCCTCCTCTCTTGCTTTTTAGGCTTAGGAACATACATTTTTCTCCTGTCATGTGTCGCGAGCATTCACTATCCAAGTACCATGACAATGTTTTCCTTTTTGTTATCAAACAGATCTACAAGGAAAATTAGTTTACTCTTAGGTACCCATATTGTATTTTTAATCATGTTTGATGTCTTAGTAAAAAGCTTAAATGATAAAATTCTACCCGAACGGTCGAAAATGTAAAAAACATGTTATTCTGAACAAGCATTAAATTCCATTAAATGCTCAACGTTCAAAAACAACAAAAGTGATAAGAGAAAAGAAATATTTGTTGCATGCATATCTACTCTACTTTGTGTAGATAACCTACTACATTCATCCACATGTTTTATACTATTCATATCAGAAGTGGATGTTAGAAAAAAAGAATACATTCACAGAATGTTCTCTCTATCAAAAGTCGTGCCAGATAAATAATACAACCTACTTCTATCAAAGTATTGAAAAAGAAAGTCTACTCTGACAAGTTCACTTTAACCAACGATTGCTTCATACGACAAGACTGAAAAGACATGAGAATAAGGCTAAAGCTCAATCGAACATATATGTTTTGAGAAGCCTTTAAATAGAAGATGATTCAAAAAAAGATTCAAGAGAATAACATACGAAGATAATAGCTTACAAAGAGAAAAGCATGCAAAGAAGAAAGCATATCGTCGAGAGAAAAGCACATAAAGCTTAAGAACTCAAAAGAGAATATCTGAGAAGAGAAAAAGCTCAAGTCTAGATATACTCTCAAGCTTTATTGTAATATAAGATTACTATTTGTAGATTGAATTGTATTGAATATATATCCTCTCTGTGAGAGTAATTGTCTAACGACTTGTAAGCAATCAGATTGATTGCACATTCTGAAGAGAATTCAAACACTTGTTGATTAATTCAAGTGAGTTAAGGATTACTAAGCAGCGTATCAGGTTGATACTAGGATTGTCTAGTGGAAACCAGAAGTGAGTGAAACTCAACTAGACGGTGTATCAGGTTGATACTAGGAGTGTCTAGGGATACCAGGATGGTCAAGACTACTGCACAACCAGGACTGGGTAAAACTCAACTAGGCAGTGTATTAGGTGAATACTAGGATTGTCTAATGGATATTAGAAGTGGTGAGAATACTTAGTTGTAATCTTGTTGAAGATTATAGTGGAACCACCTAAGGTTAGAGGATACTGGACATAGCTTAGTTGGAGTGAATCAGTATAAAAATATTTGTGCACTTGTTGTTGTATTCTCAAACGAACTCCAAATGATCTAAAAATTTGTTAGAATGACCAAAAAATCATGAAAACCCCTCAGAAAATTTTAGCTCAAAATTTAAAGTCTAACTATTGTAAATATTTGTTCAAAGTTTGAAAAAAAAGACAAAATAAATTTCCAAAAAATAGAAAAAAACATTTTCTAGAAAATCTAGAGGATTAGCTAGTTACATAGCTACCACGGTATCAAAAAAAATTTCTACCCCAAATCCATGTATAATAATAGAAAATTAGTTAACCAAAGTGACAATTAAGGTCATTTTAAGATCTGCAATTCAAATAATTTTTAAACTTTAGATTCACCCAAATGAAGGGCTATTGAGATTTTCTCCTGAAATAGAAGTTTAAAAGAGTGGTCAAAAAAATTTTCGTTCAAAGATAATAACTATAGCTATGAAAACCAAAAATCACATTAAATAGTTATATGTAGGACTGTATTTCTAGGTTGTACATACTTGTTCTTATGTGCAAGTATGTTTCTGTGTTTTTAGGTTTATGTGATATGGAATATTTACAAAAACAACAAATTTTAAAAAAATAAAAACATACTTTACACAATGGTAAAAACCGAGGCAAGAAAGGGTCTATTGCCTCGGTTATGGATCCAACTGAGGTCATGCACCTTTTAATTAATTAATTTTAAGGGTCTACGACCTCGGTTGGAACTAAACCGAGGCAATACACCCATTTATTTTTGTTTACTGTTTCGAATTTTTTGAACTGACGCAAAATCGTAACCTTTTTACTTTGATTTTTGAACTGAGGCAAAAATTATTGACTTTTTACCTCGTCTGAATATATCTCGTTTCTATAATCGCTGTCATAAATTCAAAACAACTGTTGTTGTATCTCGGTAGTGCACCTTCCTTTCTAACAAGCTTTAGAAAGAATATAAGCTTTCTATGAAGAATTAAGTAATCCTCTTACAAGGTTTTTCTTTTGAAATTTAGTAATACACAACCTTATTGTATTTTAACCCATTCTCCACACACAATCTTAAAAAAAAAACTTACGAGCCTATATTTTTTGCATATTTAGTTTTTAAATAGTTGGGGAAATAAATCTTATAACATTATTCACTTTGATAAGTGACAACCTTCTAAGAAATCTATCATTATATATCTTTTCTGGGAGAATTATTTCTTAGATTCACCTTATTCATGATTATTGTACTTAGAAATAGTAGTTAAAAATACTTTGAAATCTTAATTTTAGAACACGATTAAAACAACAAAATTGATTTGTGTATTGATTTTGTAATTAAGTTTTTATTAATTGAGCTATTCAGTAATTAAAGTAGTTAGGATGAACCAATATTATCATGCATGTTATTCTTATTCATTAGTGAAACCTCTTATAGACAGTAATATTCTCAAAAGAAAAAAGTTTTTTATTCTTTCAAAATCTCATTCTAGCATTATTTATTTGTTCATATATATTTTTTATTAAACAAGTTAAATATGTTTTTAATCCTTAAACTTATAAATAAAATTTAAATTTTTTTCTTATTCAAAACTTTAATATAATTTGATGCTGAAATTTAAAATATGAATAGATAAAGTCTTTTTAATTCAATTACATTACTATTTTTATATATAAAAACATGTTTCATGTTAACCTTTAAATTGTTAAAATTGTTATACCATTTTACGTGTTTTTACTTCAATGTCAACTCAAAAATGTATTTGAGATCAAAATATATCAAATTTCAGATAAACAAATTTTAGTTTTATGTTAAATTTCGACTGAAAACATATTTCATCCAAAATTTATCAAAAATATTATTTTAAAACTGGTTCAAGAAATCCAGTGGCAAGCTTTCAAATATATTTAACTTGAGTAGTTTTATTGCAATGTATAAAAGTGGTTAAAGTAGTTTAAGACCCACACGTCCCAATGGGCAATAACACATTAACATACCTCGAGTTTTTGGACAATAGTACTTTTGACACCAAATATTTTTTCTCTCATTTTCACTACCTTTTCCTCTCTCTAGCCTCTTCTAAGAGTACAAAATATCACTTTTATTAGGACCATTTTATCCCTATAAAATATGGTCAAATAGTAGTAACCGGTGTCAAATAACTTTTTCCTTTTGTCTTATAGCAAATGAATATTTCAGAGTTTACATCAATAAATTGATTTAAGACATCAAAATCAAAACCACATTAGCAGTTAGGAATAAACAAGTTCCAATACAAATTGATTCAACACAAAGGAGGGAAGGGAGAGAACATATTTTCACGGTCACGTTTGAAGCCTCTTGAAAAACTAAGAATTCTTCTTCACCATACCTCTTACTAACTGCTCCATCTGGTTTGTAGGTCATTTGGCACCACAGCAGGAACATAAACTTCCATCTAGTTACATGCATGCCATAGTTAATCATCATAAAATAACAAGACCGATATCATAATCACAATATATTTTCTAAAATCTACTATCCACATGATGGAACAACCTATTGGTAGATCCTAACAATATAAATATTCAGAGATGAACATTGTTGTTGTAAACATAACTGTATAACTGACTGTTGCTGTGTGCCATGCACACTCTATATACTTCACTGTTTTTTGATTCTTTCAATACAGTTAACATTCCTACTCTTTCTCTCTGTGTGCTATCTCTGCTGTTATACAAACTTCTTCTCTGCATACTGTCACGTTAACAAACATGAGTGCCTATACAGTGAGTGCAGTAAAATGTCTTCAGAATAATAGAAGACACAAAATTATACAACATAGGAGAAAGATGGAAAGTCTGTTCAGGGACTTGTCAATCTGCATTTCTTGCCTTCTCATTCTAGGACTGCCATTTCCATTATGTGGGTATGAAAACAAGTTTGCATCTGAGACCCCGAAAATTCTTGTCAAGACCATCTCACCAAACATACCAATCATAGGATTAAAGAAGCTAGTCATAGCAGCACCTCCAAGATAAGGCAATCCATTGGTGCCAGAGCTTTCATAGAGGTGAGGGAAGTACTGCTGATAATGAAATGGTCTTGGCTGTGATTGGAAATAACTTGGATGAAGTTGGTGGCCAGAATGTGCTGGTGCACGAGCAGAAGAAGTTAACAAATCATTCAAGTTGTAAGGAGATGGCCTGTGAGGTATTCCAAGACTCATCTGGAGTTTCTTGGCTTTTGATTCTGAATTTGATGTTCCACGGCCATAGAGAGGGACTACTAAGGTGTGAGAGATCTTAGATTTACAAACTGGGCATGTCTGCTGCTGGTCTGGTTCAACAGATGAGTTTTGAACATGCAGCCACTTGTATATGCATGGCCAACAGTAAAGGTGACCACAGAGTGTAACCACAGGGTCATATGCTGCTTCCAAACAAATATTGCAATCAAAGCAATCATTTTCACAAGTAGAGACTGTTGGCTCAGCCGAAATGGATTTTGATTTTTGCTTTAGAGAGACTTCCCCATTGGAGTCAAAGTGTTTAGATTCCATGGTATTTCTTCCAGAATATACAATCTATCAAATGATTGAAGAGCATTAGAAGTAATTATGTTAAACAGACCATACCTAGAAGTATAACTAGTCAGCTCAGAGATCCAAATGACAACTAAAACAAAGTGCCTATCGATAATTTACCCCAATGAGCATGCCAATATTTTCTTTTAACTTATGAATTATGAATTTGAAGTATTAGCTAAGGATCACAAACCATATCAATTCAGACAGAAGAACCACTGGTTCCCCCAAAGTCAACTAATATTGCTTAAAAACTATTCATTTTATGATTGAAAACTATGGTATCCTCATACGTTACAAATTAAATAAACCAACATTTCATCATATGTGGTCATAGATCCTTTCTCAACAACTTGAAAGAGACAGTCACTCATTTTGGAGTGAACAATAATCTCTTCATCAAAGAAACGCCATTTATAAAAAAATTAGTGGTGAACCAGCAAGAGATAAATAAGCTTGTACAAGCCTTAATTTTCATAGAACAATCCCAACAAACTGTTTTTTCCCTCGAGAAAATGAAAAACAAAATTATTTAAGAAAAACCTCTACACAAATTAGGTTTATTCCACGATTATTCATCATCAATTCCCAGTTTCCCATCCCATTATCCTAAAAGAATGCAGATTAAATCCTCAATTTTAGAGCATATCGAAAGGAACCTTAAAACACTACCCCAGATGAAAGTCCAAAGCATGGAAACATCAAAACACAAGGGCAGAAAAAGCCAATACCCATCCTTAAAAAAATCCAATTTTGAGCCCAAAAATCCCCAAGAAAAACTGAAATTCTCGTTACCACATATGACAACAAGGGCAGAAAAAAAAACAAAGGGTAAGAAAAAAAAATGTACCTTTGCAACACAAGAAAAAGTGTCAATGGAGAACGCAATGCATAAAAGGAACAAGAGGACAAAAAAAGTTAGAAGGGAAAGAAAGTGAAAATGAAAGAAAAGCGTTACGGGGAGCAAGAGAGAATTGGAATGTGACAGAAACAATGGAGGAGAGTTAAATGTGGAAGAAGATTGTGTTGCGGGGAAGAATGTATGGGAACGTGGTGGTGCCACCTTATTTAATATTTTTTTTACTAGCTATCAATTGATAAAAGTAAAACGTTTTTGTTATTTATTTTTTTATCATTTGTTTGTTTCTGTTATTTTCTTTTCAGCGATATGTTTTTTTAACCAAAAAAATTTATTATCTTCTTAACTATTACGCCAATAAAATGTGCAAAAATAGGATATGTTGCAAAAGAATTTTACAACTACTTTACGTGTCTGGTAGAGAGGATTACAAAATGAACTAATGATAGATTTATTTTAAAATATGCATCAATCAAATTATTAGAGTTAAATATGTTTAACTCTAATAAAGTCTATGCGTCAGCAATTAAGTCTAAATGGGTTAATCCTTTCCGAGAAGTGAGACTTAGGAGGTACGTTTTACGGTAAGAAGAAGATTCTAACGCCCTTAGTTGTCATTTGCCGACGAATACATTTTATATTATTTTATAAAATATAGAATAAAAATGTTATATACTTTAAAATAGGATGAACAATGATTTTAGTTGGCTTAATATCTATTTTGATTCTTTATTAATTAGTTTTTGTTCTAAATTATTTTTTTATTTTTAAAATGTTCAAAGTTGTCTTTTTTTTTTTAAATTGGTTTAATTTATTATTAATTTTATTTATTTTTATTAAAAATTTTGTCCCTTTTCTTGCAAATCGAAATGCAATAGAGAGAGCCACCAAAAGGTAAGAACAGAGCAAGATCTATTGCCATCACCAACCACCACGACACCAACAATCAGAACACTCGTGGACCCAAAATCACACTACGACCTATGTCTTCTCCATCACAGTACCAACCTGCATAGACGAATCTGATATCACCCAAAACATGACTAGCAACCACTAATGAGAGTCTAGAATCCCAAAAAAACATAACCCCAAGAAATCTCCAAAACGCAAGATCAAACCGTAAGAACAAGAGCCCTAAAACGCATTTCGAAAATCTAAAAAACAAGAAAAAAGACCCCAATTTGAAAGTAAAAACACCCAAATCCCTAATTCACATCCCCAAAGTCACGAGATCTGAAACCCAAAAATGGAACCCCAATTCAAAGCCCTAAAACGAACTGCAAAAGGAGAAAAAATGAGCACCTCTCCTCTTTGCCAAAACATACTCAAACCAACACAAGGGTTTGTCTGCGAGAAAGAACCCAAAGGTGTGAGAAAGACCCCAAAAGTAGGGAAGACAAAAATGATTACGGTTCTTGAAAAGAAATCAAGCATTTATGAAAAATTAATTACGATTTAATTGTAATTCACCCAATTAGAATTTAAAAATAATTAGAAATTAACATAGCACTAGTTATTAGTGTAACACCCCGATTTCTGAGATGTCACAGATTATTAAAAATCGACAAAATTTCAAATTTATCATAGCGTGAAAACGTACTTAAAGAAAACCTTATCCAATTACATTATTTCAAGCAATAAAATAATGAAGAAAATACTCCAATTATATTATCTTAACTTGTAAAACAAAATAGCTTTAAATGAATTCCTAGGTTATTCCTCATCCTCTCTTGAGTCAATCACGCCTCTAGAACATCTATAACATTATATGCTCACGTATAACACATTGTACGATTATCGTCAATAATTTCATTCGCAAACACATAAATACAAATATGTATGGGGTAAGCTACCTATAAAACAATCATAACAACAAGATACATACATATAATTATATCAACCATAATCAAACAGACAACAAGATACATATTTTCTGGTTATACCACTAGTGTAGAAAAAGCCATTGACGTCACCGTTTAGACGTCTGACCCCCAAATATCAAACATAAAAAATGACTGTGGCATTTTTGTAATTAGAAAGAGTAAATAGACGTCTGATATTGGGGGGTCTGACTTCTATAGTCTATTTAGATGTCAGACAACTCCACTGGACGCCCAAAAGATATGTAAAAGTACAAAAAAATATTTTTTTTATTACTATTAGACGTTTGGGTTGGAGGGTCTGACGTCTATAATCTATTTTAGACGTCTGTTATAGGGGAAACAGACTTCTAAATAATCAGCCCAAAAATTTAAAAAGTCACTTTTTGACTCCATTTAGACGTTTGATCCCGTCACTCCGACTTCTAAAGTCATTTGGACGTTTGTTATTGGGGGAACAGACTTTTAAATACTCAGCCCAAAAATTTAAAAAGTCACTTTTTGACTCCATTTAGATGTCTGATCCCGTCACGCCGACTTCTAAAGTCATTTAGGCGTTTGTTATGGGGGGAACATACTTCTAAATACTCAGCCCAAAAATTTAAAAAGTCATTTTTTGACTCCATTTAGACATCTCATCTCGCCACTCCGACTTCTAAAGCCATTTAAACGTGTGTTATGTGGGGAACAGACTTCTAAATACTCAGCCCAACAATTTAAAAAGTCACTTTTTGACTCCAGTTTTAGATGTTTGATCTCGTCACTCCGACTTCTAAAGCCATTTAGACGTCTGTTATGGGGGAGCCGACTTTTAAATGTCTGCATTAAAACACCGCGAACGCAAGGCAGCCGTTACGCGCACTCACTATTCATTATCTTCCTCGCGTTTTCTTTCCACGGGCTACATTTTTCAGGTTCGTTTTCTCACTTTTGCACCATTTTAAATTAATTTTACTCTGATTACATTACTCTTTGATGAATTATCTTCCATTTGAACCGATTAAAATGCATTTTCGTTGGGTTTTGGTGCAGTTTTGCTCTTGTCCTTGGGCGACGTTCTTGGGCGGCGATTGCTTGTGTTTTGCACTCCTTCAATTCCCTCCACTACGTTTTTAAAACCATCCAATACAAAACAAACATACAATTCATTCTCTTCAACTAAAATATAAAGATGTAAACTCGAATCACCATGAGCCAAGAGCAACCCGAGAGGCCTCAAGCGGAGAAAGATCCAATCAAATACAACGACGTTTTAGACGTTTGATCTGTTCAGGTCAAACATTTATATAGACATTCGATCTATACAGGTCAGACGTCTATATAGACGTCTGACTAGGGTTCGACGTCCCATCGTCACCTGAATAGACGTAAAAAGCCCAAAATAATAGACGTCTAAAGCCTTTTCTGCACTAGTGTACCAACCATAATCAAACACACAACAAGATGCATACCTTCTGATTATATCAATCATAATCAAACACCCCATACATAGTAGTAATAATAATAGGAAACCTAATCTCCAACATAAAAAAAACAATCATGCTGAATTACTTGATCCCCGATCCCAGATCTTTGAACTTCGATCATTGATTCTTGATCTTTAACCCTTGATATCATCTCTAACATCTCACACATAGACCCTTGGTCTATCCACTCATTAGCAGCCATGTTAAGTACTTATTATAACCATTATAATAACACCACCATGAACATAACATAACCTTAAGTATCTCAAGTACCATGATTATCATCATAAATACACCACCATCATGACTATCCTAGTCATGAAAAATACCATGAGCATCACCGTATCATAATACCATAGTGGAAATAAACCATCTCACTCGTGTACCCTACCTCACCGACTGTAGTCGCTCCTACAGCCCACTTGTAGCCTCCCCTACAGGACATCAGTAGTCTCTCCTATAAATCATCTCTTTCTAATGCACACAAGGCAAAAGGAAGCACCTATCCGCAGATAGAACCAGGATTTACAAGGTACAATAAGTAGACTTATCCTCAACTCTCATGCTCATAAATCACATGCTCAGGTACATTTCAACACTCAATTATATATATATATATATATATATATACATACCCATACGTTTGGAACCCATTGTCGAAAAATCAGCCCGACCTAACGATGAACAACTTCACAATGAGGAAAACACCAGTGTAGGTTTTATGTTATGCTAGAATGACTTCTTCTCTTCATTTCTCTCTCACTTGGCTTTTGCCTCTCTTCAAATGACTCTAATATGTCCTAATAATCCGATCCATCTCAACTAAAACAAAGTGAGACATAATGGTCCATATTAGTTGTCCTATTCTCCACATAGGAAGGGAGCCTAATAATCAACACTTACAATAAATATTTGCATGGAAACCCCCAAGTATCATAACTTTGTTCTCTCTTAGCATCAAACTCTATGTTGGGATAACCCAACAAAACATACATAATATATTCATAGGGAAAATCCAACACAAATATTACATAAACCTTATGCTCATGCATACACAAACCCTTGTCCAACAATAACAATATACAACCATAATCATAATCATATATCAAACCAGGATTATTAATCAAAATAACCAAGAACATATATAACATACAACAATAAACAAACAAAGGTAAGCTTCCTCATACCTTGGTCAATCATAAGGTTTTATCTACAACCCTAAAACACCATGAATCTTCTTTTACACTAAGAGTTTCCCGTCACTCTCTCTTCTTCTCTTATAACGTCAGTCTCCTCTCTTCCTTTGTTTACTCTCTTTGATTTAGAGTTTCTAGGGTTTCTAAATACCAAACCACCCCTTAATTAATTTCTACATCAATTAAATAAAGGTAAAAAGACCCTTTTGCCCCTAGGTAAAAATATAAAAATAAAGAAATAACATAACAATTATGGTCTAACAAAATATACACTCAAGAACACTAATTTTCAAACAAAAACCCAAAGTCTCAAAACTACTTTATTTTTAAAATACTTATTTTCTCAGATCTTAGAAATAGGGTTCGCCGTTAGGGATTTAAACACCGTCAGAAAAAGATCAAAATAAATCATTTTTACAAAAGAAAAGACTACTTTGAACATCTCAAAAATGGAAAGACCATTTTGAACAAAATTAGCTAATAAGGAGAATAAAATAGGTATTAAGTCTTTTAGTTAATACTTTATAAATGAAAAACATATTTAACTACTAAAATTATATCCTATAAATATAAATTATTTTGTATATTTATCTTGTAACTATTTCATACAAGTAATTTTTATAATTAAATATTCTATTAAATATCATTGTTTATTGTGGA